GAAGATTAAGGACACCTTTTGTATTATATTTAAATATATGGAGATGAATGGAAAATATAGAATGGCCTTTGAATTAGCAAGTGGATTGTATCTAACTGAACTTTGATAACTGAGCTTGTCTAAAGAGATTGTTTTAGCACATAATATACTTGGACTCAATGTGCATGGAAAATAATTGCACATTGGTAATAAAAGGTAGATTAGCACAAGATCGTAGTGTGTGAACTACAAAAATTATTCTAAAGTAAAAATAAGTCATTGGCTGTAATTCCTTGAGAATCAGAATCAGATTAAATGTTATAGAAAGTATCAGCAACATCTCAAACGCAACATACAGGAAAGCGTTAATGTTTTTTCAAGAAATACAAATGTAGCAGACATTGACAATATGGAAGGTGATCAGAATATCTCATGGGAAGAAATGGATAGGCTTTAGAACTGGGACAGGGTATGTGATTTAATTAGTTTGAAATGCGAGGTAATGAACATAGGGAGCAATGAGAATTTCTTCAATCAGAAGGCACACTGGTTGAAACAGGAAGACTTAGGGGTATTAGTCAGTCAAAGAATTATTATGCACCACCTAGGTGCATGTAGCAGTAAAAAATGGAAATACAATTCTCAGATGTATCCAGTGAGGCTTTTGCAAAACGAAAACATTAAGTATTAATTATAAGTTGCACTGTTGAGACGTTATCTGGTACGGAGTTTAGAATTCCAGTCATAAAAACTCAACACGTTAAACTCCTAATGGAGCAGGTGGAGAGAGGAAAAGAGTTAATAGCAGTGCTGCAGGAACAGAAAGCCTGTTTTGTGGTGAAATCTTATCAAAATTTTTAATGTAATGAAATAAAAATCAAGAGTACTTTTGGTCTATTTGTATAAAGATATGATAGAAGCAGATAAAAGAATGCCCATTAAAGCTAAGGGACAATTTTGACCTAAATAAGACATAATAAATGTGGTATTAAAAATGGAAAAAAAGATGTTATACAAAAATCTTAGTAATAGAAATAGTGGTGCCAGAAAACCTGAATTAGTTTAAATCCTTAATGTTATCAGTGAAAAGGACTTGATAATGAGATTGATTATGAAGAAAGAAAGCTGGAGATGGAAAAGTGTCCCAGAGCAAGAGAATTCATGTTGAAGTTGAGAAAATGAAGCCAAAAAAAAAAAAGTGGTTTTACTAAGACCTACCTTGTCCTTATGCATATAGACCTGGGCTGTTGAAATCAAAGTAATATTTACCTGGACAAAGCAGTAAACAGTGAGCAATGGGACTCAAACTTGCAGAAGACTAAGTAACAGGAAGGATAAAAAAGCTTAAGAAATTATCCAACAGGAAATTTTCACTATGGTTTGCTATGTGCACATCAGTGACATTATGATTGTATACCTGTATGTAGATCTCCCTCTGCGCTGCTTTACCGACCTAAGCTAATTCTCAGGGCCCTTTGGGTGCCATTCCCTATCCAGGGGGCTGGCTGCCTGGTCTGAGGGCTAGCACACAGTGTCTATGTTCCCACTTTGCTGGCCTGGATGAGGCACCCTGCTCTGTCACCATGCTGGGCAGGACACTGCCCCGCTCCTGCCCTGCCACCACCCAGCCTCCTGGATCCCCTTCCCCTGTAAGTGGTCTTGTTGTTAGCAACCCTGACACTAAACTACTTTGATAATCTGGTATTACTTTGTCAAGGGGAAAGATATTTTATTTTCTGGGAACCTAGGAACCTTAAAAGAACCTTGCTGTTCTTTCTAATCTGTAAATCCAATTTTGATCATTTGTTGAGAGGCATCAAGAGGGCTGATGAGCAAGGAGTCTGGATCTGACTAGGATATGCAGAGAATCCCAGGAGTTGGGAAGCAGCTGCCTGCCAGGTCAATACTTGATGTCTTCTGTCAATACCAACCCATAAAATATCGAAGCACATGAAATCCAGATGGTTTCTTCTGAGCATGCAATCTGAACCAGTTAGGATCACCAGAGACACAAGTACTTCACAACACAATATGCTGAAACTCTCCTTGGCATGCAGAAGTTCTGAAAACAATCTGAGTGCTGATAAAGTGCTGGTAGATATATCAGGGTAAGCAGAGAACACTGCAATTCCTCTACAGTCCCGAGAGCTGAGATGGTGTGTGTCCTGTGTATTTTAAATTTTGGTTTGAATATTCCACATAGATCCATTTGGCCGAAGCTCCCCTGCAGTAGCACTCTTGTTTCAGCAAAAGCAGTTCAGAAATTATTCACATTCCTAGGTAATTTCCCTCTGTGCTGTTGCACAAAAGAGGGAAAAGGAATTAATTTTCCTTTGCACCAACCAATGCTTGAGACCAATGAACTTAAAGATATTTTTTTGCTTCCTCTTTCTCTTTTCCCTCCTGGAGTGTAATAAAAGAAATTGTATTTTTGCAAATAAACAGTGTTTATTTTCCCAGTCCAAAGCTTTTTCACAGAGTGCTTTTTTTTTTTTTTTTTTTTTTTTTTTTTTTTTTTTTTTTTTTTGTGCTTTTTTTTTTTTTTTTTTTCCCCAGTGAAGATCTATGTGATAATTCTGGTACTGTATTAGAGACCCCCCAGAATTTCTGTATGTGGACTACAGTAATGGATTCCACATAGACCAAAGAAATTCTAAGCATGCAGGAAATGTTTTAGTGCATTCTCCAAAAGCAAAGTCTCTTCTAAATCAAAAGTTACGGAGGTGTCAGCAAAGAAACTTTTACAAATCAATATATTTAATTTTTATGAAGTCACACTTGTTAGCATGTGAGTATATTCTTCTGTATTTACTTGAATGCACTGATCATATATTAGTATTTGATTTATGTTAATGAAGATGATAATTGGATGATAGTGAAAAAGAGAAAGGGGAGCCAACATAAAATCGCTGCAGGGGAAGCAAAAGATCAAGAGGGTTGGATCCATTTCCTCTTAGGTTCCTCAGGAGTGTTTCCATTAATTTCACTGAGCTTTAGCTCTTGTCCTTAGTGGAAAAAAAGATACTGAGGCTCATTAACAGTTTTTATTAAATAAAACTTATTACCATAAAAAGAACATTCCCACCTTCCAAAGAGCTATGTGGAAAGAAAAAACAGGAATTTCTTGAAGGTTATTGTGAGGTTTTTGTTGTTTAGGATTTTGTTGGTTGGGTGAGTTTTTTGTGGATTTCTTTTTTTGTTTCTTTGATTGTGTGTTTGCATGTTTGGTTGTGTTTTAATTTATTTTAATGCAAATACTTTGAAACCAAAGCTCTTTCTTCAGAATTGCAGAAATGCCTGTGTTGCAAAGGGCCACGCACTTTATTTACCTGGGTAAGAATAAGAGGCTATGATAGTTCCCATAAGCTGAAGGAAGGACGCAAGTCGTGTTTCTACCTCCTGGACCTGATTTCATAGTTAATATGTTCCCTGACACTTGACTATCAACATGGGTGTGGGTATGGTCGGGAGCAGCCGTGGGTGTGAAGGACAGAGGAGCCATTCCATTCACAGGAAGAGAGCTTCCTCGCTCTGGGGATGCTGACTTTGCCTTGGCACTTCCCCTCATGGCCAGAGAACAGTTTGATTCATTTAATATACTAGTATAGACATGCCCTGTGAGTTCTGAAAACTAAGTGTTTTACCATTTAGGAGGCTTTTCTGCATTCCTGCTGCCAAAACTCCTGCTTGTTTTTAAATTGGCGTAACATTAATAATTTTAAGATAGGAAATGCTTTGCCAGAACTGAAGGTAGTGTCCCCTGACACAGCGCTGATTATTTATTTTGAATCATTTTCAACATCGCTTCTTCCGTCTTCTGCTATGTCAGCCTTTACAGAGTGTCATTTTTCTAATAAATTAATTTATTATTTTAAATTCACAGAAGTAAAATATGAATAGGGTAGAATGAAGCAGACAAACAAACAAACAAACAAGAAAGGATGAAAATTGAAAATTGTTTGAGAATACACTTTGAAGGAAATGGATTTTAAAATACCCTCTTGCTCACTTGTAAAGCAGTGACAGCCCCAATATCTCAACAAATACAGAGCAATTCATGTTGTGAAATAACAGTGGAGTTTTTATATCTTCTAGATTCATGGGTGAAAAGGGGGATCTGCATGATGAGGAGTTTCAGGGTGTAGAGAGAGGGACTCTGACCTGATATTACCTCTCATATTACACTGTGAGTCATCCTAACAGAGACAGTAACTACTTGGCTTTTGGTTTGAGGGAGGGAGGAAGGGAGGGAGAAAGGGAGGGAGGGAGGGAGGGAGGAAGGGAGGGAGGGAGGGAGGGAGGGAGGGAGGAAGGAAGGAAGGAAGGAAGGAAGGAAGGAAGGAAGGAAGGAAGGAAGGAACGAACGAACGAACGAACGAAGGAAAGACTGTCTATTGCCTATTCCCCCCATAAGGAATAAGGCTGCAGAAAGGCCATAAAGCTGCCCTCCTCTTTCAGCAGCTAAAGCAACAGCTGTGCAATCCAGCTCAGACAAGTATTCTCAGGTCCCATTTCAAGGGAAGCAGACAATGAAAAATTGAATGAAACAGGCAAATTGGTGAGAAAGAACAATGGAAGAAACAGTATGCAGTGGGGCAGAATAGTGCTGCAGCTGTCTCTGCTTTGTCTCCTTTTTCCATCAGCTGGACTTGAGGAAGGATGTGACTTAGGTCTCAGTAGAGATGGTAAAGGCTGAGCATTATTTGCATTAATGCTTTTAAATGCCTTTCTCAGTCTCTCTTTTTTTTTTTCTTTTAGTTGACCTGAGCCTCAGATTCTCAATGATCCTTTTAATATCTGAGGAAAGTAAGCAAAACACGTACACTTATATTAGTATAGATGAAAGGTCTTTCTTTAGATTTTTATTTGTTACCTTTTTGTAGGTATTATTTTATAATTTATTTTCTCTTTTAATCCTGTTTTGTTTCACTTGGCAGCTGCAGCAATAGTTTCTAGCTACTGGGAAAACAGATGAGCAAATATCCTCTGTCTTGAAGTTAAATGTATTGCTGCAGCAACAACCCTCTCCAGCTTTCCAGCCACCATGAATCCTGAGCCTACTCTTAAACTGGTAAGTCAGCAGCCATGCCAGCACAACACATTGCCAGAACTGTTCAATCAGGCCAGTCTATATTGATTTATTTTAAAATATATTCAGCATCAGTTCCTCTGTTTTCTGTCAGTTAGCGATACTGTCACTGCTTTGATTCACCACCTCTTCTACTGCAAATCGTATGAGCACATTATCAAGCAGCCAGTGCACCTAGGTTTTGAGGCTGACAATACAGGATCAATGTCCCAGGGACTCAACCCTGAATTTCAATAATTCAATTAAATTCCTTGAATACCGGATTCAGCCAGATCGATTCCACATTGCTTGCATGTTCACGTATAAGACATCCTCCACAGAGAACCTGCATATAGTCCCCTTGTCGGTGTATAACAAAGGGAAAAGAGAAGATATTGAACTGGAGGAAAGATAATCAAGCATTGAACCTGCTGAGCCTAACAGTAAAAAAACATGCAGGCGGATTCTGCAGCAGCTGAAGCCACTGGAGGATACTGTGTCTAAAATTGGGGTCCTATTAAAAATGTATAAACATATCCAGGATTAGGTTTTAAAGCTATTGCTATAGGTATGAAATGAGCTTAACTTAGAACTCCTGGGCTCCCTCTAGGCTCATTTACAGCTAACCAAGGGAAAAAATAAACTCTTTTATTGCTTGAATAATTCTATGCTACCTATAACAGTAGTTAATAGTTAATAAGGATTTATGCCTCTCATAACTGAAAGGTGTATCTAGATTTTATAAGTGGATATATACAGATGCTAGAAGTTCACTACCCATACTTTGTTCACAAACAATATAGGAAGAAAGAAGAAGAAAGAAAGAGTCTATGCAAGCCACAGGTTGTGACTGCATAGGGAGATTCTTTAAAGGATGCCCAATCTTCCAGGCCCAGCTCCCATCTGTGGCACTGCTCCTTTGGATGCAGAAGCCTACAATACCCTGCATCATGCATGGTACCCTGCATGAATTCAGGCCAGGTGTAGGTGTAATAACCTTCCTCCCACCTAGCAGCAGCTGCAATTCTATAACTTCAGGATGTGCTGACTAGTGATAAATGCTCCTCCTTAATCTGCAGCTGGAAGTTTCTTGGGACCCTCATTACTCCTTGGTGGATGTTTGTATAACATCAAGAATGAGAAGTCATGGTTTTATTTTAAGCCTCTGCCCTTGTGTAATGGAAGAAGGTAAAATAGCAGTAATTGATAGTAATAACCCTATGAAATCAACTTCCCAAACAACAGAAATTCTGCCATGACTAGATGTTCTGTATTATTTGGAGAGGATATTTGTCCTTATGGCCTAATTCACTGGCAACTTTTAATTTACCACTAAGGGACAAGTCAGTACTCTTTAAAAAAAATTACTGGGAACTCAATTAAGAACAAATTCCAATTGTATCTTATTAAGTGTTATGATTATTGAACACTTAAGCAAAACATCAAATAAGGTTCTGTGATAAATGGTCCATATAGGGTGTAGCATAATAATACTGTGCAAAATAGTGATGTATAGGACTTCCAGTATCAATAGCCAGACCTAGAATAGCCTAAAGATCACTTTAATTTTTAAAGAAAAACTTTTTTTCTTTATGGACTACAGCCATTTCAATTTCATAGTTTAGGTTCCTACATAACTATTATATTTCTTATTATTTGTTATAGTAGCAGACAGCAATCCATTCTGAGCTATTTCACAAACACTCAGAAACCTCCCAAAATTATTTTTATAAAACATAAATGAGGATCAATGAAAGCTGTAAAGTATAGAGGTTGGAGTGCATATCATTATGAGATATGTTTCAGCTTAAAATTTTATTAGCATGATGAAGGGGAGTAGGATAAATAGATGGCTATTTTGTTCTTTTCAAAATAAAAAAAATATTTAAAAATAAATTCTTACTCTTTTTGTTGACATTTTCTCAAATCAGAGTGAAATTTTCATTGACAATATCTCTAGGGTCATCATTTTAATATCTTTTGACAGTGAGCAGCTTCCCTCTGACTAGCTGGCTTATGTAGGATAAGCCTCCCTTCTATACCCTCATTCACCATACAGTTTTTTCTTTCATTTCACTCATTTTATTTGTATCCCACAAACTGAATGGTAATGTTAATGCTAGTAATAATACTTGTTTGAATAAAATTTCAGGATCAGTCCTCTACTATGCTAGTGCAGTGATGGTTCATTATACAATATGCTTGTGACACAGAATGTTGTCCTTTGTGGCTGAAGCAGAGCTAATCCAATTAATTTGTTCATGAAAGCCAAGCTGGTTTTAAAACAGGGTCTAGCACAAAGAGGAAAGGACAGTTTTTTATTAACTTTCTCCCTTGTCTCAAGACATATTTATTGCTTTCTGCTCAAGCAGAAATAATAAAAACCTAAGAGTACAACAACTTGCATGAAAAATCTTTCAGCTCTTGTGCATGTAAATAGATTGGACTTTTGATTGAAAATACTCTGTGTATTTCTTAAGGCTCAAACTTTAAAATGCCTAATTTGGAAAGATACCAGTATGTGCAAAAGAGTGACTTTCATAATGCATGGCAGCAACATTATTAATTAAAGCAGAGGACACTGCAAGGATATGTCAAAGCAAAATAACCTTCAGCTAGCAGAAACAGACTGAGCTATAGGTCAATTTTATTGTGTTATAGAGCAGACACTGTTTTTCGCATTGTGTTACCAAAGGTAGCAGTGAGCTACTCAAGGCAGGTTTTTGCTAAACAGAGAGATCACTTAGAAAGCCTCAGTAGTCACATATAGAAATTATGTGATGGATCAAGGATATTTTCTTTTACTCCATTATAAACACTCTCATACCAGTGATGATGGTCTTTATGTATCTCTGAAATAAAAGTTGAACCCAGCAAAATGAAGTAAAAGGGTGAGTGTATGTTTACACGGCACAGAGACAACATGTATTAGCAATTGCTCTGCTGGGAGAGCTGTGAAGTTGAGCTGCAAGCTCACAGTCATGGAAGACACTCCCTTTCTGGGTGCTGAGCAGACCCACTCTGACTGGGCTGAAAACCTCAAGGAGGATGCTGTTGGTGAAAGTGCTTTTTCTTGGTCCTAAAAATAAAGACATGTTTGTCTGAGTGTCTGGCAGAAATTTCCTTCCCTCCATGTTATGGCATTAATAGTCATTAGCAGGTTTAAAAAGCTTTACATACTCTAGCAAGGTAGGAGACAGCAAGGTATCTGCCTCAGTTTAAGAGTTGTTCAGGAGATGAAGTAGTATTCCCAAAAGTATTATTGCATTCAGAGATGGGGTCATGCTCAGAGAGTTTTATTGTCTGTCTAAAACAGCTGCTTTGAGAAGTATTTGTCCAGTTATGAGCAAACTGGCTTCTCTAAGACTTGGGCTCCTTGACCTTTATATATTGCAGCTATAAACAGGACAGAGCTTCTCTGGGCTTTGTTTGCCATGGGTACACCAATGCTCAAATACTTAGAAAACTTTCATCAGAATCTGCACTTCTGTTGAGAACACGTTTCTGTCACACAAACTGGCTGTCCTGAGTTCTGTGGCACTGACTCATAATGCAGTCCAGTCTGGATTGGTGCTAATTAGCAGCTGCTGGAAACATTGATGGGCTGATACATGGCTTTCAGGGAGAGTATATGCAAACACATAGTGCAGCCTGAAGTATGCAAGGTTCTGCTGTCTGGATGATGATGTGGAGTCAGGTTGCTTTCTTATTATGAGCTTTTGACCTATACTGGGTACATTAAGTAAATATGATCAAAGATAATCCAGTTGTACTACTCCTGTAGACTGCTATGTGAATAGCCCAAATCATCTTGATTTGGAGGTAATAACAGAAAAATAAAACCCCAGAGATCATTAGGTTGCCTATATCTGGACACGATACTCCAATTTAGAAAACAAAAGGAAACAAGCTGACATTCTCACAATAAAATGATGATTTAATCTGTCTGTGGAATATGAATATGAAAGTATTTAAGTGTTTTCACAAGTCATAACCAGAAACATGGCAACAATGTGGAAGTTGAGGGATATATGAGATACACAAGCCTCTGGCTTTGTGACGGTGCCACTTTTACTTGATGACTGATTGAGAAGACTAGATCAACAGAAGCTGCTCACCTATTACACGTGGGCATTGCTACATATCCTGTAGGAGGCCATCTTTTGTGGGGATCTCTTCAATACCTGTGTGTATTTCTCTTGCTTGGCTGAGATCAGTGTGTTTTAGATGAAGTGCACAATTCTGTACATACTGCACAAATGTTTATCCACCCCTACAGCAGCCCTGTGCAGACCCAGTCCTGCATGTGATTATTTCCCCTTGTGCTCTGACCTGTGTCACTTGCTTTTCACTTGCATTGCTGGCTGAGGGTCATCAACCACAGGTGATGGGACACTCATTTTCTCAGTGTCTCAACAGCAGCAAACTTGTCCAAATTATACAGTGATCCATTTTCCAACAAATGCATCCCCTTCTCTCCTTCTTTGGCCAGGTTATGCTTAAGGCTATTGCCTCTGCTACTAGCTTTCTTTAGAACTGCAGAGATAAATACTGAGGTGTAAAAGTTGAGAAATGTTTAAATGGTTATCCTGGTATACCTCATCAGCATTAATGAGGTAATCTTATTTTATATTTCAAGGAAGGTACTTTCCTCTTGATTCACTGTAGGCATCTTTTTTCTCTCTTTTTATTTTTTCATCTATAACAACATCTTAGGCCACTCATGTAAGATTTTGGGAGCATCTTTTCTGTAAATACGTTTCCCTGGATCTACAAGTTTGGGTGGAGTAAAGAATATATGTTAATATATTTTACTGGAGGTAGGGCTTTCAAATAGCAGAGGTTCCACCATGTTGCAAAATAAATTCTTCTACCAGTTGATAGCTTTATTGTTAAAAAAATCACTTATTACTTCTCTAAATTTGTCTTGATTAACTTCTAAACCAGTGGAAGATTTTTTAATCATTATTTGCTAGCCAGAAATTTATCCCTGACATGCACAGTGATCAAACCAACTCATAATGTTTCCCACATACATTAACAAGACTTAGCTCTAGGCTCCTGGGAAAAGTGAGATTTTCCAGGTCTTAGGTAGCTATTTTATATCTTTACCAATCATTTCCAATTTATAAACATCCTATTTTGCAGCCAACAGAGTTTTTATAAATATATATTGTGCTATTTTATTAATATTATTACTAGTTATATATGGTGGAATAAATAGTTTGTACTTCTCACTATTCTCACTATTTTTTTTTTAATTTCTGAATATCCTTGGATGAACATTTCTGAATACAGCTTGGCTTTTTTTTTTTTTTTTACAAGGAGGTCATGTTGGAAACACTGTCTATTTATCACCTCAAAACCAGCACTTTTTCAAAACCAGTCCTTCCTTCAACTCTGACCTAAATTCCATTTTCACAGATGCTTGTCCTTAAATTCAATTGCTTTAGAAAGCATGATGCTCAGATGGTCTCATCTTGCTAAGTGAACTTGATGAACTTGATTGCTCTGTCAGACTGACCTGTCCTTATCCCAGTTTACCACTTTACTTGGTTTTGTGTAATCTGTAGACCTTACCATTATTGATATTTTCTTCCAGATCATTGGAAAAAACATTGACCAGTATGGAGGCAAGAAGAGATCATGGTGAGACATGACTAAAAATATTCCTATTAGGTGATGATTTTCAGCCAGTTTTAATTCATTGTATACATACCACAATGATTTTTTTTTTTGTTGTTATATATAATTTTTTTTTTATTCAAAATGTGATTAACTTCTGGGTCAAATTACTTAGATGACTTTGTCATACTTGTGATCTCAAAAGAACATAGCTTCTCTCAGTGAGATCTGTTTCCAATTAAGCCCTACTCATTAGCATTAAAGGTACTATAATTTATTTTTCATCCTGAATATACCATATATCCATCCATTTGTTAATGCTCCCCAGTATGCCTTTGTGGGGTTTTGTCTCCAAGAAGCTGATTCTAGGTTGAGATCACTTTCCTTTAGGTTAGTTTTCAGTGATCAAGTTGTAACATGGAGCAAAATTTCAGAGGAGAAGTAGAGTGTGAGGGAAAGTAAGAACTGGGTAGAAAGGTTACATGACAGTGTATCCAGCACGCTGCCTTACTTTCATTTTGCTCCTTGGTGAGTTGTTTTGTTTGTTTGCTTTGTTGTGAGTTTCTTTGCTTGGTTGAATTTTTTTCCCCTGTTAAATATTTTGTGTCTCTGGTGCTCTGAACTGGGACATGTGTGGCATTTCAGGATTTTTTTCAATAATTTTTCTAGTCCTCAATAGCCCACAAGAGTAGGTACATCAGTACATGTGAATAGTAACAAACTTGCAAGGGAATAATTTTTCTTCAGGTCCTGTGAGCTATATCATAGAGGTTTCATAGTGTAATGAAAACATTCAGTGCCTCTGCATAATTTTTACACCTTCCCATCCCCAATTATCAATAAATACTACAGGCTCCTATAGGTTTTCCTTAATAAACAATCTCTAAGAAAACTGAATTCAAGTAGTGTTTTAGGAATTTATTATAGACACTTTATGGTACAAACATTCAATTTTAAAGATGTTTTCTTCACTCCCAGCGCCCAACTCTTAATAACCTGACCCCAAACACCACCTCAAAATGACATTTCTGGCTTAGGAAAGCCAAGAGCTACACATTGCTAGAGGCTGAGAAAGCATCATTGTATGCTTGACCTATTTTACTCCTTTCTATTGGCATCTGTTGCTGGCCGTTGTTGGAGATGAACTGTTGGATATTTAGTTTAACCCAGTTTATTTTTCTAGTGTTCAACATTTTACAATTAATGCATATTCTTTAGGGGTACTAGCATATTAACTTTCTTCAACTTGGCTGCACAAGTTTTTAAACCCTGACCATTCAGGCTAAGCACTGTAGCATTAAGGTAAATGGTAAGGTAAATGGCTGCATGTTGCATATATTCCCTTTTCCTGTTGCTAAAAATGCAGTGGTCATTAAATATGGAAACACCCTAATTATATTGTACGTTTCAGAAATCCATCTAATCTCAAATATACTCAAAATCTCTTCATATTTCCGCCACACAGAATAGCTGTCGTTTTTTCCGTATGTATATTTTCAGAGAACAACAAAATGGTTTTGAGATAAAAAGAAAAACATAGAAGGTAGAATAAAATTATAGAAGATGTTATTTTATATTAATGGAAGGTATCTTTATCTTCCAAGTTTCATAGAATGCAACCTGAATAAAACACGTGCTATTGAGTTAAAAGCAGTAGTACTTATTATACTGATTTTATCATCCTTCAAGATCTATAATTTTGTTCAGTTTAAATAATTTGCTCATGGATGTGTATATGAATGCAGTGATACCCCTAGACCCATGGTTTGAGGACACTTCCATGTGTCACCTAGTGAGACAATTGTTATGAAATTCAAGTCACCATAAAACAGACTTTGAGACAATTCAGGTGAAGAAAGGCTTCAATTTGGCTGTTTAATTTTTTTGTTTGCAGTAGGAGTAAGCCCATCTGGTACAGTTCACAGTTCATGTGCTACAGCCATCTGAAAACGGAAAGAAATTTAGTATGAGTTAAATGGATCTATAACTGAATAAAACAAATAATCTAAATTCTATTTTCTACGTCACTTGATTGGAGATATGAAAGCCACCAAGATACAAACACACTCTTCAGGAAAAACCACCAAATCAATAGAGCACACTTTAGGAAATGTAGCAGAGTCACTATCTCATAGTCCTTTGCAGTCCATACTATTGGCTTATAATACCTTTAGTACTCAGGCATACTGATGTAAGAGTGTAACATTGCCATGGATCTGTAGGTACCCAGGTGTGGGCACTGACAAAAAGAGAAGACTTAACACAGCAGTAGAAACCACAGTCATACAGTGAAATTGCTTTGTCAGTAATTTTGACTGCTCCCTTTAGAGAAAGGAACATGTTATATTCATTCTTTCCACTTTCTCTCAAAATATTTTTTCAGTATGCTTCTTAGGAATCAAAACATGTCCAGTTTCTACACTCTGCCTTCAAAAGCCAGAGTGGAAAATGCAGCTGAACATTCAAACCTGCCTCTCATACACACTGAAAGTGCCAGCAGAACAATTTCGTCACAATATAAGGATGTGGTTTATGCCTCTACTTTCCTACTTTGCACCAACAAGCATGCTGTGCTGTCCTTTGCTTTCATGCAACCTGTAATCTATACAAAATTCTCTGTTTTCATGTTGATAACTGAGGTACCTGTTTACTTCAAGCTTAGAAGGAAGTAAAATAAACAATAGAAGTCCATGAATATGAAAGCCTGCACACAGGCTTATTTTCCTTCCTAGAAGCTCATACAGAGTTAAAAGTGTGGCAGCCTGGCAGGAAGACAAGAAATTTTAGCTGTGCTTAATATAATTAAAGCCAGTCAGACACAAACATGAGGTGGCTGTCCTGCAAATTGTTATGCACATCGATAATTACAGAATTATATATGAATATATGTCTGTTTTTGTATCAAACCTACAAACTGCTTCACTGAAGCCAATGTGAATCTATTTGTATGACTAAGGTTCAGCTCTGCAGGTCCAGGGAGAAAGCATTGTGCTGTATCTTTTATTGATAGGAACTATGAGACGTCTTTGTAATTTCAAAACAGCCTGTGGAAGGAAAGCAGAATCTATCACTAGCCAATACCAAATTTCTTTTCTACTTTCTTTTGTCTCTTCTTTCAATCTTTCCAAGGCAGCAGAAGAAATCTTAATTTGGTACACCACAAAAAATAATATTTAGAATCTGGACTCAGAGATTATTTCCTACTTCTGTGCCCATTGCAGAATGGATCTGGTTGGAAGGGAGCACAGGAGGTCATCTGGTCCAACCTCCCTGTCCAAGCAGGACCATCCCAGAGCATGGGATTGCAGCCAGCTGATTCCTGAATATCGCCAGTGAGAGAGACTCCTCAACCACTCTGGGATTTTTTTTTTCAGTACATGATCACATGCACAGTAAAGAAATTCATCCTCATACTCAGATGGAGCTTCCTATGCATCAATTTCTATCTATTGCCTCTTGTCCTACTGCTTGGCACCACCAAAAGAAATCTGGTGTCATCCTCTTGGCACCCTGCCTTCAGATACTGGTAGATATTGATGAGATCCCCTCTCAGTCATCTCTTCTTGGTGCTGAACAGGCCCAGCTCCCTCAGCCTTTCCTCACAGAAGAGATGCTCCAGTCCTTTACTCATCTCTGTAGCCCTACACCAGACCTGCTTCAGGAGCTCCATATACTGAGGAGCCCAGAACTGGACACAGCATTCCAGATGTGGCCTCATCAGGGCTGAGTACAGGGGCAGAATCCCCTCACTTAACCTGCTTGCATGATCTTCCTAAAAGAAGTCATTATTATTCACGGCTTGTGAAAGAAAGAAATACTTTGTTAAAAATTTTACTTCATAGTCAAATGTAAAGAAAAAATCAGGAGATTCTGGTTATGCTGCAAAAGGGAACTTGACTCCCTCTTACTGGTAGGGCAGTGTCTGCTGCTGTCAAAAGCATGGCTTCTTTTACACTAAGCAATAATTTTGTAGTCAAAAAACTACAATAAACCAAAAATTTAAGAATTAACCCTCCTTCAGCTTGAGCACTCTAAGATTATTTTCTTCACATTTTTTGCTTTCTTTTGTCTTTGGAACATTGCTTCCTAGTTTGCAGAGTAGCTCAACTTTGTCTACAAAAGAGAATAACTAGAATAATGGCTAGACAGATACTGCTCCCAGGCAACAGAGAAGAGAGAAAGAAAATAGCAGAAGGAAACAGAGCACCTGTATTGCAAATGCTTAAATGAGAAATCCAACTAAACATACAAAACATCTGGGCTTAGATCACTTTCAGAGACAATTGTAGGACTTCAGTGGTTTTATGGGTTCTCTGTTATTGTCTTACTATTGAAGAGTGGTTTCACTAGTGAATAGTGCCATTTTCTGCATAAAAGTGTTCTTGAGTAATCAGGTTTTGTCCTTTCACCAGTAAGGATTTGTATAAAAGTAATGACATTAAAATTTGCAATATTTTGACAGAGCTTCAGTCACCTCTAAGCTTAACTGAAAACTAAGAGACAAAGCACCTCTGAGAACATAGTCTTACAATCCAGAGTTGGAAGCAAGTACTAAAATATGAAATTTCTTGGACATTTCTGACAGGTTTATCCCATTATTTACACACTAATAACACAATATGAAAGGTAGAGGGGGGTTTTGTTGTTGGTTTTGTGGTTTTTTTGTCTTTAAAACATTTTTTTTTATTATTAATCTCCATTTATCTGCTATATTGAAAGATTTAAAACAAGGGAGCAAACAAGAAGTGCCTGAAGACAGATTCCAAAGTAGTTTCTATTAACTTAAATGGGATTTGGTGGAATTTAGAATTTCTTAAAGTCAGACTATTTCATTTGTATGTTCTATGAACCTAAATTTGCACTTGCACTTATGAAAGTGTTGTCTCAGATACTAAGTTTGCATTTTAAGGTATTTCTGTGAGTTAAGAAGACACAAGATTAAGATAATTAGCCAGCATATGTCTTTTCACCAAGCTAGGCTAAGCAATCGTTTAAGGTTTTTCCTTCAGGAGAAATGTTTTGGT